GCTTGGTTTATACAATTTGTGTAGAATGTTTATTCAGTGGATGCCGCGAAAGCGAGCCAGGGCAATGGGCGATGTAGTCTCCTTGATGAAGAACCTCATGATAGTGTACTGCGAACCGATCGATTGTACGACTCCCCCCTCGCATCGTTCACCGAAAAGAAGACCGGTGATGTAGCGGATCAATTTAGGAACCAGTGCAAGAATGCCACCAGCCCTCTGGGCGTAGGTGGTTTCAAGCGTTCCCTCTTCCACCCCTCCTTCTTCCCCTTCGGGGAGGGGTTCGCCCCTCCCCCCACCCCCTCCCCGGGACCTGGGCGGGGTGTTCCGCAAGCGGTGGGAACGTCTATAACGGCCTCGGCGAGGAAGCCAAAATCATGAGCTTTACTCCGAGGTTTTGGCCCAATTTAGGCCTCTTGGGCGGGGGGGGCTACTTGAAGCTCCCCTTTTGGTTGATCGATCTCCTCCGAGATGGCCCAAAGAGCTCTCCCGAGGCGCCCGAGGGTGCGCCGAGAGGGCCTCGAGAGGTCGCCAGGAAGCCCCAAAAGGCCCCTAAGAGGCCCCCAGGATGCCCCCAAGAGGCTCCCAAGAGACCCCCCAAAGGCCCCCCAGAGGCACCCAAGACGCTCCAATATGCCTCGGCGAGAATGCCAAAATCGTTGATCTTAATAAGGATATGGCCATTGGCACCCGCGATGCTCCGAGAGGCCCCGAGACCGCTCCGAGACTGCTCCAAGTGGCCAAAGAGCACCCCCAGGAGGCCCCGCAGAGGCCAAACTCATAGGAAAATCAATGTTTTTGGCTGTCTCGCCTTTTCGCTTCCGATGGCCATCCGAGGCCCCACGATGGCTCCAAGATGGCCCAAGAGGGCTCCAAGAGCGCTCCCAAGGCTCCCAGGAGCGCCTCAAGAAGGCCCCAAGAGGCGCCCATGAGGCCCCGACAGGCGCCCGAGAGGCCTCCAAGATGCCCCCAGGAGACCCCCAAGAGTCCCCAAGAAGCTCCCCGAAGCACCCGAGACGCTCTAAGAGGCGCCTGGGGCCGCCGAGAAGCCCCCAAGACGCTCCAAGAGGCCTCCCTTGGGGGGCCCTTCTTCTGCGTGCTGCCCGCTTCGCTGATCAATGCAATTCCTCTTAGCATCGTTTCTGGATGGGCTGGTGGGGTTGCGCGAAACGCCTAGATTCCCTCCGCCGCCCTGGATTTACCTCCTGGAGCCTTCCCCCCGTTGAGCTTGGCACGGGCCCTCAGAGCGACGACGATGGAAAATTTTCGGGCGGCTCTACCATCCAGCTCGTGGATTCGAGCTTCAGCTCATACTTGGCTATGTCGTATATGCGGTAATAAATCAATCCCATTCGGACCCGCGAACTTCGGAGTGCAGTGACGATGGACTTCATGACCCCATTTTCGATGATCTTTCGAACGCGCCCCGTCGCGTTCGAGCGCGGCGCTCTGGGCGCGCGTGTCTGCCGGCTTGCTGGCCTTGTGTGCTCCCCACCTTCTGCGCGGAACGCGCTCGCGCAGTGGCGGCGCGACCTCGTGGCGCAAGCTGGCGCGGCCGTGGACCGTTGTTCGGCCTCGGTCGACTCGTGGGGCTTCTTGTTGAGGTCCTTGGACCTAGATGTCTCCGCGGGAAACTTGACGTTGAGGGCCGCGGCCTCAATGCGCCTGGAACCAAAATCCACCCGGGGATTCTCCAGCACTCCAGAGGGGGCGAAAACATTCGTGACGGGACTGGTAAGGAATCGGGCTCAGTAAAACCTTGGGGGCTGTGTGGGAGTGGTGGCTTCTCTTGGCAGGTCCAAGGAGGAGGAGACAGTGATCATTTTTGCCGCGTGGATCTCCTATTGCGGACCCAGCTGCGATGAGAAGAACGCCGCGGAGGATCTGCCTGTGCTGGTCATGCATATCATTGGAGCAAGGAGACATGAGGACCTACTCTATCATGTCAATCCAGAGCTGTCGTCGGGACCAATCGCGACATGGCGAGCTCCATTGGTCTTGGGGCGAGTAAGTGCCGCGCCCCGAGAGCGAGCTACCTCCTCGAACTCGGCGACGTTGGCGTCGTCGGACGCGTTGGGCAAGTAGCAGGGGGGCAGGCCGCATGCGCCCAAGCGAACCCACGCGACCCTGTCCGAGGCATGCCAGTCGGAGACTTCGTGCTCGGGAGGAATGGGGATGGGAGAGAGCGCAACCGGGTAGACCAAGTTCGGGTTGGATACGCTCAGCTTCCTGAAAGAAACCAATGTGCTGAGAAACTTTGATATCATCACGGATCTCTTCGGACGACTGAGAATAGTCTTTGTTTACACTCCATGTCATTACCCCCGGCGGAGGCAGAGCAGGTGTTAACGTCTTCCTCGATCTCGGCAACCCCCGTGATCAACGACGCGCCTGAACCACCATCGCTGGCGTGAGATGAGACGTGATCTTCTCAATCACCTCCGGGTAGACCTGCCGGCCCTTCTGTAAAACCCATAACGCCAGAGTCTCTGGGCCACTGGTCGTCAGCCTGACCGTGAGGGGGTCTTGATCCACGAAATCTGGAACTGCGTCTTGGTCAGGTCCTGATCGGAGAGGGAACGCGTGACTTTGCTACCAGCAGTATGAAGAGGTCGACGATGAGGAGTCATTTCGACTCCTCTGAAAATTCTCTGGCCCTTAAGGTGGGCATTGACGCAGCCCCCTGGCTCCATTGTTGCGAAGGTCCTTGGACTCGTCCCTGAGGGTGAAAGTGACCTTCGCGTTCAGCTCCTGCCGCTCCGCTCTGAGGAAAAACGCCTCCCAATCGACCTTGTCGGACTGTCTGGGATCCAAATGCTGCCGTACCGAACCTCAGTCTGTTTTGACCTCCTCTCCAAGCAGGCATGACTTATCAGCGGGCCTCCCGAAATCATCGAACTCACTGTAGCCCTTTGATATCGGCGTAAATGGCTTTGGAAGAAACTCCACCTACTTGGTATAATCACCTCCGCCGCTGCCCATGGACACCGACGTCAACGTGGCCGCCTTTGTACTCGACCTTCTCGCGCAATTCTCAAGGCCTCTGCGGCACCTCGCGCACCTCCAGCTGCACACTTCTGACCGCTCGATGGGTATTGGAGCATAACCTGATGAGGTCCTTCATCGATGGTCTGCCGACGTCGAGTTCAAGGATAAATCTGATTATGAATACGATATTGTTCACGATTTTCATGGCGGCGATTCTGGTGATGAGGACACAGATGGTGATGATCATGATGCCGATAATAATCATGCTGCTGATGATGGTGGTAAGGAGGTAAGGATGACGAGGCGGAGGAATAGAGGGCGACGAGAAGGGGTGAGACGAGCGGAACACGAGGACAACATCTGTGCGCTCGCACCATATTTGTCATCCCATCCCTCCTTCCCATCCCTTTCTCATTGCGCTGTTTTTTCTCTGCCCGCGGGCGCGTGTCATAGCCGACCTGAACCCCCAACAAAAAAAACAATCGAATTACGCGCAATCGGAAAAGAGGACGTGGGTACGCACAACAGCAACAGGACTTGGAAGGTAAGACACGGGAGAAACAAGATCACCAGGGTAAAGCGGAAGACGGGAAATGATGGGGGGAGACAACGATGAAAACAGACTCGGATCGAGAAAAGTGGCCCGCGTTGGAGCGCAATCCTCAACGACGTGAGCATAACGCCGATGCGAAACCGAGGCCCATGCTGCAGCAATAATGTAATTCTCAAACACCAAAAACAACCACATTGTACAAACAAATAAGACACATCAGCCTTTTAACTTTGGTGGACAAGAAACAATACGCGGAGAGGGCCACCTATCCTCCGCACAGATTCAGGGGAAAGAGAGAGAGAGAGAGAGAGAGAGAGAGAGAGAGAGAGAGAGAGAGATAGATAGAGAGAGGAGAGTCGTGCTCATAATATATGGTTGTGGAGGGGAAATGGGGGGAGGGGGGAACCGACGAGAAAGATGGGGAGGAGGCGGGAGGAACATGAGGTAAAGGATGAAAATGATGAGGGAAGTGAGGATGACGAGGCAGGGGAGGGGGAGTAGGGAATATGGAGAGACAGGGATGGGGAGGTGGAGGAGTAAGTGGAAGGACGAGGAGAAGGAGGGTAGACCAGCGTGAACCCAAGAACTATTAACGATGTTGCAATGAACCCTCCCTTCGAACTCCCTCTTCATAGGCCCCTGAAGAAGATTCGTTTCCATTGAGGAAAGTACCCCGTTGGGAAACAACCGTTTGGAAATCCTGAACCGTGCAAGAGCACCATTCCTGGGACTTCAGCGCTATGTATCACCTTCCTGTTGCGTCTTGACGATCCTGAACCGTGTCAGAACACCATCCCTGGGAGTTCACCTCCGCAGATCAACATGACGCCAGACAATCTTGCAAATGTTAAAACGCATGAACGCGGCGCTAAGGCGAGAATCACACTAAAAAAAAAAAACGCCCTCCATCCGTGAAGCTCTGGCACAATTTTAAACCGAACTTGCGCGGCGCTGAGGCGAGTGCCACATTTTGAACACGACCTGCCCTCAATCCGTGAAGCTCTTGCGATATTGCAACGACTGCGCGCGGCGCTGAAGCCAGAACCACATTTTGAAAACGACCCGCCCTCAATCCGTGAAGCTTTTGCAAGTCTTTACAACGAATGTTCGCGGCGCTAATGCGAAAACCACATTCTGAAAACGATCCACCTTCAATCCTTGAAGCTCTGGTAAATTTTTGAAACGAATGTTCGCGGCGCTAAAGCGAAAACCACATTCTGAAAACGACCCGCCTTCAATCCTTGAAGCTCTGGTAAATTTTTGAAACGAATGTTCGCGGCGCTAAAGCGAGAGCCACATTTTGGGAGCGTGAAGCTGTTGCCAAATTTGTAGCCTCAGGGTCATATGTGGTAGGGGAATCTCAAGTGAAACGCCTGGCCCTCCTTTCCGACCGGCCTCGGGGTGCGATAGGGAGGAACCAGTATGGAAAACAAATGAAGCAGGGAGGGAGGTGGAGGCTGTCCTCGATCATCCTCTGAAGGTCCTCGCGGCCATCGAGGCCGCAGAGGAACAACTCCTGCTCTCGCACGGTGATCGCGCCTGCGTGGGCGCAGCGCTCCCGAATCCAGACCTTTTTTTTTTTTTTTTTCTTTCTCCTCCTCCTGCTGCTTCTCCTCCTCCTCCTCGTTTCGTTCGTTCATCAGGCAAGAAGGGTAGATGTCTAACCTCAGGAAGATGGCGAGAAAGAGCAGGATGGAGAGGCTGGCGACGAGGATTCCCAAGGCCCCGAGGGCCGCACGAGGGCAAGACCCAAGCCAAAGCACCCCCCGAAGAGGGGACACGCAGTGGCGGAGGAGAGAACGAGGGGGAGAGCAGGAGGCCGCAGAGGGGTGCATGGGAAAGGGTCTCGCCAACCCTCCGAGATGGCACACAAAGAAGGGGCCATAGGACCAACAAGCGTCTCAGGCAGGGTCCAACAACCGACTCCAATTACTGGCCACTAAGCTGCGCACAAGCTGACGCCCACTCTGACATCATGGCAGAGTCCAGGATACTTGCTCCGGCCCGATCTGATGGCAGAATCAAGGCGAAGCACAATCAACTGCGATCTTCCAGGTGCCAGATATATCATGGCACGTGTCGAACCCAAGATCCTGGAGGCGAGAGACGAACTTGGGCAGCAAACGTTGCAAAACTTTGCTGAAGGGAACCGGCTCTACATCGGACTATCCCATCCCAAGGTCGCTCTGGTCAAAGACTCGATTGACTCACTGCCCCAAGACTGCACATAGTACGTTGAGCCTATCAAGAATCGAATCGGAAACGCTGGACTTGTTCTTGAGAACTCTTCGAATGATAGTGTGGTCTGGCAGAGCTGCTGCTCGGCTTCCCGGATGCAGTGCTGCTTGAACAAACCAACTGCTCAATCCAAACAATCGGTCCCGAATGAAGATGCATTCGCATACCCAGGCGAGACGGCAGTAACAACTCCAGAGGCTGCGACTTGCTCAACTCTAGATGAACCAGCACCAACGCCGCTGGCATCGTCATCTCGAATTTGACGACGCGGTCGGGGCGTATGTCCAGCACTCTTTGGGCTGGCAGCCGCAGAAGACTCTCCTCGGACACCGAGCTCGCCGTGCCTGCGGATGACTGGCAGGTCCCGAAGCCTACCACGAGGATCCCTCCCTCTCTCCCTCCCTCCACCTCTTTCTTCCCTCCTTCGCTCCCTCCCTCCCTCGCTTCTCGTTCTCCCTCCCTCCCTCCCTCTCTCCCTCTTCCTTCCTCCCTCCTTCCCTTCTTTCTGGTCCTCCATCCCCCTTTTCGTCGTTGTCGTTGTCCTCCTGCTCCTGGTCCTGCTCCTCCTTCTGCTCCTCCTCCTCCTCCTCCTCCTCTCCTTTTCTCCCGCCTCCTCCTTCTGCTCCTCCCTTCTCGTCCATTTCGTACTCGTCTTTTTCTTATTCCTCCTCCCTCTTCTCCTCCTCCTCTCTCATTCTAGCTGCCCTCGTCCGATCGTCCTGCAAATATGAGCGTCCATCCATAACTTCAGCGATCTGCTGGTTGCCAGTCCGAACCCGCACTCCCTTGCCGAAAGATGTCCGCTGCCGTTCCCATGGGTTAGACTTCAGAAGGTTTGTGGGGTCAATGGGGAGCTTCACTTTGCATGGAGGGGACTGGCGTACGGTAAGCTCGTGTCGTGACGACACCGGCACTGGTTTCCGACACTGCGTGGATCGTTCAACCTTGAACGATCGGCGGCTTTTCGATCGACAGATTGTTCCAGGTTGGCCGATTCTGGGCCACTGGCGGCGTTCAACCCTGAACGCCCACGCTGCGGTCGCAATCACGTCGACACGACACGAACCTGCCATAGCACCTGTTTTGGCGACACGGACAACCCTTAGCTCGCGGAGCGTCCCAGAGAAGTCCTGGAAGCTGCCAACCCGCTCCTGCTGGGAAATGCAAGCGTTCCTGACCGTTCGCCGGAATCTTGTCCATCGAATTTGCCCTGGACAGCGGCGAAGGGGCCCCCCCCTAGGCTACCACGGGGGGGCTTGCCCCCTCCTCCAGGAGGCGCCCCCCCCTGGATCCCCCAGCACCCCGCAGGACTCCCAAAGACGGCGCAAGACGTCCAAAACTCCTCGATCCTCGATCCTCCCTCCTTCCTCCTCCTCCTCCTCCTCCTCCTCCTCCTCCTCTTTCTCATCCCACTCCTCCTCTTTCTCATCCCCCTCCTCTTCCTCCTCCTCCTCCTCGATTCTCGACTTCCGAGAGGAGCTGGCGACCCTAGCCTAAGCGGTGACCCCCCCTGATGCCGCCCGACCCCTCGCGCCCATGCGGCGCCTGGCCGGACGAGTCGGGCCCACCCCAGCAAGGCCCTGCCGGGGACGTCGTACCTGATCGCGCCCTTCCCTTCTCGTGGTCTCGTCGTCGTCGTCGTCGTCGTCCATCTCCTCGCCATCGCTCGGACGTCCATTCCCTGTGCATTTTTCTGTTTAGTGCGTGCCTTTACTGCCAAATGATCCAGGATGCTCGTCGATGGTCCATGCTGAGAAACATGCACACGTCCGATCGATGTCAGTCTTTTTTCATTATTAAATAACTCTTCACTGTCGCACGCCAAAACGTCGGTTGGCCAGGCCGGGCGTTCCGCTGGAGACTTCGTCACCACTCATGATCCTGAAGCTTGAAGTGTGCAGCAGGTCCCAGGATGGAGGAGGGGTCGTTTTCAAAATGTGGCTCTCGCCTTGGCGCTGCGCGCATTCTCGTCTTGATAGCTTGCATCGGCTTCGAGGATGGGACACAGGTGGTTTTCAACATGTGGCTCTCGCCATAACGCCGCCAGCATTCGTCTTAGAACGTTGCAAGAATTTCAAAGATGGATCACGAGTCGTTTTCAATCCGTGGCTCTTGCCGCACACAGTCGCCTTAACGCATTGCATCAGTTTCAGGGATGGAGGTCTGTTCAGTTTCCCTTCCGAACGTGGCCCTCGCCTTAGCGCCGCGCACATCGCCTCAAAAAGTGTGCAGCGATTCCAAGGCAACGTAAGGTTGAATTCCCAAGAGTTCTGTTCTGGCACGTTTTAGGACTGCCAAGACGGAATAGTCACGTTGATTGGCGGTATGAAATCCCAGGAATGGTGTTTTGGTAATTATGGTTTAGGGTTGCCAGGACGCAGCATTCACGTCGACTCTTGGCGTTTAAAGCCAAATAATTGGGGTCTGGCACGATTTAAGATTCTCACACGGTTGTTTTTTCCATGAGGTACTTCCCGTCATGCACAGAAATCATTGCATGGGCTTGTGAAGAGGGAGCTTGGAGGGGTGATTTATTGCAACATCGTTGATACGTCTCGGCTTTGTACTGGTCCTTCTTTCCCCATCGTGGCCTCCTCTTCCCCTCCTCTGCGGTCAGTAACTTTTGCTTAGCGTGTCGGTGTAGCTGCCCTGGTGACACGCCATACCATGCAAGCGGATGGCGTGTCGCTCCGCTTCGCGGGGCGGGAGGCTGGGAAAAGCTCGGGAAGTTGACGCTTGGGGGCCAGAACGAGGTCATCGTGTCGCACCGAAGCGTGGTGGGCCAGAACTGACGGCGCGACTGGCCAGGCAAAAGTTCCTGACCGTAACTCCTTCCATTTGAGGAGGAAGGGAAGGAGGCGAGGGGGGGGTAAGAGGGTGATAACGAGCAGGAGGAAATAGAGGGAGCGGGAATGGGAGTGAGACGATACGGATGAGGATGAGGATGAAGATGATGAGGCTGTAAACGCTTGCGGGCGGGCCAACAATCGCTGTGTGTTCATGATCCCGTACCTCCCCCAAGGACCACCAATAATCTGCCAGGGGTCGATGATGATGCTGATGCTGATGCTGATGCTGATGCTGATGATGATGATGTTGATGACAATCGTCAACTTAACCATGAGCAGCTAAGGGGCAACCACCATTACCTTCCTTTGAAAGCAAAACAGCGTTAGCGTGTGGGCCCTAGACAGTTCAATCGTGCAACGACTGTAGAACTGCATGGGTGTGTAACGTAATGTGTGCGGAATCCCATGTGTGACGAAACATGTGTATGGATCTCTATGCCACCAAAAACCTGGATACTACACACCGATTTAATTCCACCCGTCAGACAAACACTTTTTCGTACTCGAAGTCGGCAGATATGGTGGAGAGGTAATTGCTTCTGGTGCGGAGGGTTTGGGAAGGTCTGGCGAGGAAGGCTGCCGGCGGATGCGCTGCTTGCCACGTGATGCGATCAAATGGAGTGGGCACAATGCAACAGGGAGGTGAGGGTTCCAGGGCCCAGAGCGGGTCCCCAGAGACCAAACTTTCAGAAGACGCCAGGGGGTCTGGGTATTCTCTCCCCCATGGGGCTCTCGGGCTCCCTCGTCGTCACTACCGCTGTCATATCGTGATGTCTGCCCTCGTCGCTTTCGTCGTCGTCGTCCTCCTCCTCCTCCTCCTCATCTCCGTCCTCCGCGCCGTCCTCCTCCTCCTTCTGCTATTACTCGCCCCTTGTTGCTGCTGAGCCTGCATCGCCCGCTTCAAGCAATGCGGGCACGAACATAGCCTGGGCTCCCGTCCGCCCCGTCCGGTGCCGCCCGACGGGCCCCAGGTCTTCGCCCTGGCAAGGGCCCCAGACCCCCGACGTCGCGGTTTTCCTACAACGTGGACCTCCAAAAATACGGACCCCATCCTCGGGACCGGTTTCTCATCCTGAGTCGTTTGTTGACGGTCCTGGGGCCCGCACGAGGGCCCCCAAAGGCCTAACATCGCCCAAAACCTTCGGCCGTGTGTTTTTCACGACGCGATGGGGTCTGGGGTCAAGGAGGTGGCTACCCTGCTGGGGCTGCTGAGGCGCCTTCCTGTCGCGACCTCGAGCAACGAGGCCTTTCCCTCGCCCAGGGTCTTCTCGCACCGTGCAGGAGTCTACTCCCCCATGGCTACGGTCTCGAACTCGTGCTTAGCGTGTCGCGGCGGCGGCCCCCGCGACACGCTATGCCATGCGAATGGATAGCGTGTCGCTCCGCTCCGCGGGGCGTGTGGACGTTGACGCCTGGGGAGGGGGATGTGGACAGCATGTCGCGCCGAAGCGAGGTGGGCCAGAACCGGCGGCGCGACACGCTATGTCAAGGTTTTTCGGCTAGATCCGCGGTCCAGTGGGCGTGAGGCCTCACATGGGCTCCACTCTTGGAGTGCGGGCAATCCCAATTAGTCCCTCCCTTCTTCCTCTCCTTCCTCTTCCTCCCGGGCCTTGGCTATCATTGCTTCATCCCCCCTGGCTGTTTCCTCACAGAGGAGCTTCAGAGGACTGCCTCACCAGACCTGACCTGACCTCGTCCTCCCTCGCTTCTCTCCCCCTCCTTCCCTCTCCTTCCCTCCCTCCTCCCTGTTCCCTCCTCCTCCCGCAGTCCCGCCCTCCCTCCTCCTCCCGCATCCCCCTCCCTCCCTCCCTCCCTCACTCCCTCTCTTGCAGGCGCGAGTGCGATGAGCCAGCGCGCGCGTACGCGTGCGGCTCGTGCCCTGCAAGCAGGGAGGGAGGCTGGCAAAAGCTCAGGACGATAACGCTCGGGGGTCAGGATGGCCGAGAACAGCTCGGGACAATCATGCTCGGGGATCAGGAAGGCCGGGGAAAGCTTGCTTGGGACAACGACGCTCGGGGACCAGGAAATGGTTAGCGTGTCGTGCCGAAGCGTGGTGGGCCAGAAACAACGGCACGACACGCCAAGCAAACCTTCCTGACCGTAGAAGCTGGGCTAGCTCCCTCGAACTTGCTAGATAAGCGCTGGGCCAGGTGAACGAGGGGAAGTGTCTTGACGATCGTCGGCGCAGCTGTGCTTGAATACTCTCGTCCAGCAACTTCCACCCAGAAGATGGCATATCAGATGGTCGTATCTCACTTGAGCCCCTGTCACGGTCGATACCTGACAGCTGCGCACGCGACCACTATTTTGCCCCCCGTCCCTGCGGACGCGAATATGATCAGGCAGCACGCCAAGAGGACGCTGCGACCTCCCCCCTTACATTTGTGGACTGCGAGGCGGCGAAAGTGGATTGGGATGCAGAGCGCGGCTAGAACCTATTGACGACGTGAGCGGGGCGGGCAGTGGACAACACCGACGCGCAAGCACTGGCAAGACCACAGCGAATCCTCGTTCGGAGCACGACGGCACGATGCGGCAGAACATCACGATCAACCTTTAAAATCCGCCGACCAAGTCGGCGTGTGTGAGGGGCTTTTCCGTTCGAGCCGTCATCTCCGTCATTCTTTGTACTCGTCGTCTCTGTCCTTCCCTTTCCCTGGGAGACCTCTTCCCCTGGGCTCCAGCCAAGCCGACCTTGAGCAACCTCGTAATTGAGTCGAAGGGAAGCCCCTTCCCTTTGATCCCTCCCCCGCCGGGAGGGGGGGGGGGGTAGCGACCCCCCCCCCGGGTCAGATACGACGCCCCCCCCTGGGACTCCTCTTCCCCTGGGCTCCAGCCAAGCCGACCTTGAGCAACCTCGTAATTGAGTCGAAGGGAAGCCCCTTCCCTTTGATCCCTCCCCCGCCGGGAGGGGGGGGGGGTAGCGACCCCCCCCCCGGGTCAGATACGACGCCCCCCCCTGGGACTCCTCTTCCCCTGGGCTCCAGCCAAGCCGACCTTGAGCAACCTCGTAATTGAGTCGAAGGGAAGCCCCTTCCCTTTGATCCCTCCCCCGCCGGGAGGGGGGGGGGGTAGCGACCCCCCCCCCGGGTCAGATACGACGCCCCCCCCTGGGACTCCTCTTCCCCTGGGCTCCAGCCAAGCCGACCTTGAGCAACCTCGTAATTGAGTCGAAGGGAAGCCCCTTCCCTTTGATCCCTCCCCCGCCGGGAGGGGGGGGGGGTAGCGACCCCCCCCCCGGGTCAGATACGACGCCCCCCCCTGGGACTCCTCTTCCCCTGGGCTCCAGCCAAGCCGACCTTGAGCAACCTCGTAATTGAGTCGAAGGGAAGCCCCTTCCCTTTGATCCCTCCCCCGCCGGGAGGGGGGGGGGGTAGCGGGGGGGGTAGCGACCCCCCCCCGAGTCAGATACGACGCCCCCCCCCCGTACCGACCTTGAGCAACGTCGTCATTGAGTCGAAGGGAAGCCCCTTCCCTTTCCCTTCCCCGACGGGGGGGGGAGAGGAGGTCCCGGGGGGGGTCCCGGGGGAGTCCCGGGGAAGTCCCGGGTCAGATACGACACCTCCCTCCCCCACCTTCTCGTCCTTCTCCCCGTTCCCCCAAACCATCCCACAGCCCGTGCCTCTTGCTGCGCATTGCGAACAGGGTCGGCGGCACCGGCCGTCAGGCCTTCGCAATCACCACAAGAAGACGCCTGCAACCTTGAGGCCCCCCTCCAGTGCAGACTGATGCGCACCCGATCCTGACATTCCGACCCCCGAGCGAAGAACACCCCCAATCGAAGACCCGACCGACCGCCCCGATCCCTATCAATCGACGGGACGGCCTGATTAGCGGCCAAGTCGAACGTCGAACAATGCACCAGGGCCATCTGAGGACGGCAGCCTGCAAGCCATCCCTGGGACTTCTCCACCTCCTCAGGCCTGCTCTTCCGTCTACTCATTCTTCTGCGTCTCCTTCCGCTCTCCCCCCTTCCCCCTTCTCTTCCTCGTTCCTGTCATGCTCCTCCTCACTCGCCCTCTTCCACTTCCCCTGCCTCCTCCCTCCCTCCTTCTTTTCCTCCTCCCTCCTCCCTCCTCCACTTTCCTTCTTCCTTCACCTTCGTCCCGCTCCTCCTTCTCCTCCACCCTCCTCCTCCTCCTCCTCCTCCTCCTCCTCCTCCTCCTCCTCCTCCTCCTCCTCCTCCTCCTCATCATGGGAGATAGGAACTAATGGCACGTGTGTCATCCTGACGCTGCCATACCCCCCAAGGGCCGTTGCCCACCCCGGGGGGGGGCTGACCACACTGAGGTAGCTATAGGAAATAAGAAAGGCGAACCGGCAGCCCCCCCCCAGACACGTGGTATCTATGTCCTCCTTGTGCCCTTGGCGGGGGTGGGAGAGGGAACGAGAAAAGCACGCGAGGATCATGAGATGACGCGTTGGCAGGGCTGGCGGCGGCTGTTGGAAAGAAGAGGTGCAAGCATTGCAGTTTGGCGGTGGAAGCGGCTCTTGAAGCGGAGTGGGAGCCTGGCGAGAATGGCTTGCGGCGCGCGCTGGTGGCGATTGTGGCCAGGCTGGCCCGTGGGTGTCCTCGAGGCGGCGCCTCCGGCTTCGCGCCGTTCTGCGAGGCTGGCGCTATGTGCACATCGTAGTGGCCAATACGAGGCTGCGGGCGCCCTCGCGGATCTGCTGCCGCCGCGCCGCGCATCATTTTGCTGCCAGCCAGGCTCCCGCGGTTGATGCCGCGCGGCGCCGTCGTTCTGCCCTTGCGACCATAATGCCGCGGCCCTGGCTGTGCCACGGGTCGCCATCGTGCCTTTCGGGGCTCCTGGCGGGGTTCGCAAGGCCATGGGGTGGTCAGCTCTGAGGACGTGCTCTGGCGATGGCTCTGACCGCTGGCCACCCCCTCGTACCCCCTCCCTCCTCCCTCCCCCCCTCCTCCTCCTCTTCCTCCTCCTCCTCCTCCTCATTCTCCTCTTTCTCCTCTTTCTCCTCTTTCTCCTCTTTCTCCTCCTCCTCCTTCTCCTCCTCCTCCTTCCGCCTCCTCCTCCTCCCTCTCCTCCTCCTCCTCCTCCTCCTCCTCCTCCCCTCCTCCTCCTCCTCCTCCTCCTCCTCTACCTCCTCCTCCTCCTCCTCCTCCTCCTCATTCTCCTCTCCTCCTCCTCCTCTCCTCCTCCTCCTCCCTCCTCCTCTTCCCTTCTCCTCCTGCTCCTCCGCCTCCTCCTCCTCCTCCCTCCTGCTGCTCCTCCTCCTCCTCCTCCTCCTCCTCCTCCCTCCTCCTCCTCCTCCTCCTCCTCCTCCTCCCCCTCCTCCTCCTCCTCCTCTTCCTCTCCTCCTCCTCCTCCTCCTCTTCCTCCTCCTCCTCTCCTCCTCCTCCTCTCCTCCTCCCCTCCTCCACCCTCCTCCTCCTCCTCCTCCTCCTCCTCCTCCTCCTCCTCCTCCCTCCTCCTCTTCCTACTCCTCCTCCTCCTCCTCTTCCTCCTCCTCCTCACTCCTGCTGTCTCTCCTCCTTCATCCTCCTCCTCCTTTGCTCCCCCCTCTTCCTCTCCCCCCCGTCCTCTCCCGCTGCCTTTGCACATTCGGCGCCCCGCGCGTGCTAACGACCCCCACCCTCCCCTTTGCCCCCTCCCCCTGGGGCCGAAGCCGCTCTTGCAGTGGACGAGCAGGGCGGGGCTCTCGTCCGAGAGGCCGTCCGCATTCTCCTGACCGGTGCGCCAAAGGGGGTCGGGAGGGGGGTGGGTGGGAAGCACGTTAGTGCATAAGGTCGAATAAAAAATATTCGGCCCGACTCCAGGGTGAAACCCAAGGTGAAGCTTCAGCCGGGTAAAGCGGAGCGGAGCGGGACTATGCCAGACTGTGCCGGTTTTCGACCTCGCATCTACCAGCGCCGACGCTGAATTTGACCTCCCAAGAACTGCATCTCAAAGAGCGGCAAACTCGTGCCGTGACAACCCCGTCGTTGGTCTCCGACACCGCGTGGTTCGTTCAGCCCTGAACGATCGGGTGGCTTTTCGTCCGCCAGGTCGTTCCGTGGTGGCCGAGTCTGAGCCGCTGGCGGCGCTCAACCTCAGCGCGCGCGGCGGGGTCGCTGCGCCGCGTCGCTACGACGCGAACCTGCCGCAGGGGGACGAGGGGGCAATAAGTCGAGTTGGGAGAATTAAGCGGAGGACACCGAGGCGGAGAGGGAACCAGCTCAGGAGGATATGTCTGGGCAAGAGGGGGGGCGGGGGAGAGGGGGGGGGCGAGGGGGAGCTGAGTCGGGGGGGAGAAGATGGGGGGATCAATCGGAGTGGGGGGCGAAGGTGGACATGCAGAGGAAGGATGGGTACGAGGGGGAAGAGCGTCGAGGAGGGGGGGGTTGAGAGGGTGGAAGCCGAGGCGGAGCGAGAACAATCAAAGGAGGGCATATGGGGCAGGATGAGGCAGGGCGGGGGGGGGCGAAGGGGATCTGAGTCGAGGATGGGGGGTAATGGGAGATCCAGTCGAAGAGGGAGACGGGGGGGACATAGAGAAGGGGGATGGAACCATGGGGAAATAAGTGAAGAGGGGGAGGTTTAGGGAGGAAAGCCGAGACGGAGAGGGAACAAACAGAGGATAATGTAGGGGCAGGAGGGGGGCCAGGGGAGGAGGGGGGGCGAGGGGGAACTGAGTCGAGGAGGGGGGGGAATTAGTCGAAGTGGGGGGCGAAGGGGACATGTGCAGGAAGGGTTGGAACGAGAAGGGGCAACACTTGAGCGGGGGAGATTTAGAGTGGAAGTCGAAGCGGAAAAGGTGGCAATCACATGATGATATATGGGGGTAGGAAAAAGGCGGGGGGGGAGGGGGGGCGAGGGGGGAATTGGTCGACGAGGGCTAGATTTAGGAAAAACACCGGGGCCTCGCTTCCGGCCCCCCTCCGCCTCCCACGTTCTCCTCCCGCTCCTCCTCCTCCTCCTCCTCCTCCTCCTCCTGCTCCTCCTCGAGCGTGCCCAAGAGCGGGATCTTCGAAGTGCCTCAGCTCGCGGAAGCTCGCGGACGGCGAGCCTGAAACCTTACAACGCGGACCTGGGCCTGGCTGACCGCTTCGGCAGGACAGGGCGGGCGGCATTCGGAAGCGCGCGCAAGGCATTATACATGGAATCAGCGTGCACAACAGGCTCGACAGACTTTGGAGACGGGTCAAGTTCCGAAACGATCCATAGGACAGTCAGAGACGTCGACTCCCACGGAGGTCCGAACCAGGTGCCAGAAAAGCGGACAGGTCCAGAAGTGCCAAAACGTGTTTTGGGCCCATCGGGCACCTGAGGAAACGGTGTGGTGGTGGTGGTGGGGGGTGATCCAACTACCTGTAAGCGTTCTCAGGATCGCACTGCGTCGTGCAGGAGGGAGGGGGGCCGTCGCCGTTCTCACATCTTCCCAATCAGTCTGCTCAATCTGGGGTCGTAGCGCTGGCATCCAATTTAGAAGACGTCTCATCATCGTGTCTTTGACCTTCTTCGGGTAAAACGTCGAAGCGATGTGCTTGTATAGAACTCGTTGGGGGTGCAGGGGGTAGGGGGGGAAGGTGGGCATGGTCGGCGAGGTGCTCGTCGAGCTTCAGACTCGCAGCGGCATGGGCGGGCCCTAATTCTGGATCGCCTGGGAGGCCTCTGGACGCGGTCTCGAGCGCGACGGCGAAAGGCTAGGGCCGCCTCCGTCCAGGCGAGCATCTGCCCGCCAGCGCTTGAACCGCGGGGAGATGCTCGGCAGCAGCATCTTGCAGTCTCCTCTGGGCATCCTGCCACTCGGAGGTCGTGAAGTGGCTCGCGCGCATGAGCTGGGCTGCATTCGCGGCGGTCAGGCTGGTCAGTCGAGGGCCTCCGAACGACTTGAGATCGAACCAATCACCGTGCGAGAACGAACAGTGAGGGGCCTTGAGAATGCGAGGGTGCTGAGCGAACTCCTGACATAACTGGCCGACGTAAAACAGGACTGTGGCCTCTCTCGTGGCACATGCTACTGTTGACCTGCCCTGCCGCGCCCCAGGCTGGCAGAAGGGAGCGTCGCTTGATGTATTTCCCGAGCGGTCCGTTCCAGGAGTCATGGGGCACGCTGGGGCCCAGCCGCATCCCGAGGTTTTTCGCGCGATCCTGGATGCTGAAGTCCGCCAATTCAAGGATGTTCCTTTCCAAGCCACCTGCGACTGCGCTGAATGGGCGCCAGCTGGATCGGGCCCCCGTGCGGGGCTGGGCAGCGCTTCGAGATCTTTTGAAAATGGTGCGCGTAGAGCTGCGCCTCTCTGATAATGGCTTGCGCAGGGCCCAGCAACGGGATGCGGCGAAGGGCCATTCCTACGTCGTCAGCGCAAGCTCGGGTACGTCCGTCACTCGGCCCGTCGAGGGCCGCGTTGACTTTTCCCCGGATGGGATCCAGGATTATCGAGAATATCAGCCCAGATGCAGGACAGCCCTGGATAATGCCCCGCGTCGCCCAGAAAGGAGGCTCACGGGCGCCGCCAACGCATCCAAATCACAAAACGTTCTCATACAGGGTCAGGGGGAAGTCCCTCAGGGGCTGGAGATCTTGAGGGGCGATACGACCGTTCTCATCCAACGCTGCGCTGCCGACGGGAACGCCTGGCCGAAGTCGAAAAAGATGCGTGCCTGCCGCGGAGCCTCCAGGCCCCCCAGGCCAAATTCACGGGCAGACGCGTCGAGCTCCACAATACTGCTCCCGAAGTTTCTCCCAGCCGCAGACCCTTTCTACGACGTGTCCAGGAACTCGCGGACCTTCTTACTCGGGGCTCTACAACACGCACTCGCGATGATTTTGTTGTCGCTGTTCTTCAGGCCCAGGGGTCTCGTGTTTCCAGGCTCTCTGGTGATCGCGTTGGAGTCCAGGGGGTCCTCGCCATTGGGGGTGAAGACGACTGGCA